CCCTATGTTACTAATTTAGCTGGATCACCTCTGGCTCCTAGAAAAGGTTAGAGTGGGGATGGGATGGGGGGGGGGAAGGTAGAACATCAAGCTGAAGAATTGCCCACTCTCTGAGTTCGTGAGAGGAATACTCCTACCTGGGAAGGTGAGAAGACTCTTGCTATCCTTTTATCATTTGCCTTAGCCCCTGTTCTTGTTTGTTTAAACAAAGCCAATTAAAAATGCCTTTCATTACTAGAATCAAATTAGCCAAAGTATGTTGTTTTTCTGTCAGTAATGAAGAATTATGGCTAGCTTCTGGGTTGATCTTTCCTCAGTTTCCTAAAAGAAATGACAAGTAAATGGATATACTTATAGCACTTTAATACATTATCTCATTTGACCCCTTTCATTCCTCCAAAGCATCCTGTGAGGTAGGTGATATTCTCATCCCCATTTTACAGATGGGCTCAATGACTTGCCAAGGGTCACATAGCTGGCAAGTGTCAGAAGTGGGATTCAAACCTTCCAGACTCTTAGGTCCTCCATCCATGCCACTACACACAGGCTCTTCCACAAACAGATGTAAAGACAGAACTGCACACAAGGAAATAATAATAACAATAATAAATTAAAAACCAAACAAATCCCAACCGTCAAACAAAGGTCAAAAGACAGAAGGGTGGGGTTGGGGAAAGGCGGTGTTCATTTTACACCTGTTGGGGAGCATGTGAGTTATTAGTCTGCCTGACAAGAAGCAAGCCTTTCTGTCCCTGGCAGAGTTGATAAATGCGGCGAACACTAGCCTTATATTTTAAAATCAATATAGAACATTTTTCAGAGCAACCTGAACCCACCCAGCATAACAAACACCGTCGGCTAACAACCCAACCAAGAAACTAATTGTTTAAATGGGTTCCAGGGGACAAGCAAAATTTACAGGAAGGAAAGGTGGAGGGAGGAGAGGAGGAGAACAAGAAGGGGAGGGGGGAAAAGCCCTTAGTTTCCAGGCAGAAGATCAGCTGTATTTGGTGCAATGAAACTATTTTCCTTTCAGTGAAAATTTTGTCTTTGGCCCTGGAAAACAATCCCTGGTAGGATGGGAACCAAGGTACTGCAAGGGAAATGGAATCCCCCTGATGGGTCTTTAGGGAAAAACCAGATCAGGGGCTTACCAGGGAGCAGATAGTTCCTCCTCTCAGCTTGGTTTTGAGGACTGAGGAGACAGTTACAGGCTAGGAGTTCTGAAGTGGACAGCTCCAACATCAATCAGCTACCCCAAAGCTGGAAATTCTGAGGGTCTATGACTTTACCAATGTGGTTAGGTCTCTCAGGCAACCAGTCCAAAACAACAAGGCCCATCTTAATCTTCTAAGTTTTCAAAGAAGTATGGCAAGCTTTGGGAAAAAAAAAGTTTAAGGTGATTTATCTGGGGCAGATGAATCATGTCTTTTGGAGCAGTAGAGACATTGGCCTTGGAGGCAGAAGGATAGAGGTTCAAGTCCAGTGCTACTCACTGCACTACTGAAATAATTTCTGTAGTGTAGATGCTTCAGGGAGAAATAAATGTACTGAAAAGTCAGATGACCTGGGTTTCACAGTCTAGCTCTGCCTCTCACTGTGTAAACTTGGACAATACCTTTACCTCCCTTTTCCTCAGTTTTCTCATTGTTGACATATCTAAGGGTTGAAGTACCTTGTCAGCCACGACCACCATCCCCCTTGTCTCTTCTATTCCCTGCTCAGGTTCTCTTAGATAAAATATAGAGAAGTCATTGGAAATCCTTTCTAATTCTATGGATTGACAGTCCTGTTGACTGACTGCCAAAGAGAAAAAAAAATCCATTTCCCCTACTACCTTTCCCCCAATCTTCGATCCCCCCTTCAACTTGCACCCATACCTCTTTGTCAGGATGCCCTGCAGCTCTCCAGTGAGGAGGCTGGGCAGTCTAGTGGCTAGAGTGCTGACATGGTATTAGAAAGACCTCAGTTTTAACTGTTGTTGTTCAGTCATTTCAGTCCTGCCTGACTCTGTGACCCCATTTTGGGTTTTCTTGGCAAAAATACTGGTGTGGTTTGCCATTGCCTTCTCCAGCTCATTTTACAGATAAGGAACTTGAAGCAAACAGGATGAAGTGACTTGCCCAGGGTCATACAGCTAGTAAGTGTCTGAGGCCGGATTTGAACTCAAGAGGATGAGTCTTCCTTATTCTAAGCCCAGTGCTCTATCCACTGCAGTGCCAACTAGCTGCCCCTAGTTTTAACACTGCCTCACATAATTACTCATTTGTGTGACCCTGGGTAAGAGTCTCTCTGGGCCTGGACTAACTGGCCTCTTAGGCAGAGGTATTAAGCAGCATTGCTGCTCAAACCAGATTTACACTAACTGGAAAATACTTAAGAAAATAACAATACAATAAATACAGATAATGTTAGTATGTGGTTTTCTAAGTCAACATAGAGCCAGCAGGGATGGTGGATCTCTGAGATACTGCTGAGCTAGGACTGCAGGATTCTATGACGCCTTCTATGTCACTGACGTCACGATGGCTGTGTCACAAAGCCCTAAGGCTGAAGTAACATCCCTCCTACTTGTCCTCACCTAGGCCAATGTGGCAGGCTTTGCTCATTTGGTAAGAATCTCTCAAAAAAAGGCTCTTTTTAGAGACAATACATAGGGTTGGCTGGGGTGGGGAGGGCAGGTAACCTTTCCTGTAGCTTTCTTCTTTCCTCCCAGTTTCCTTGACTTCACTATTTAGCCAGAACAAAAGTCATAACTCACTTAAGTCCAAAAATGTGTTAAGTACAGCCCTGTTTACCTCTCCTATAGAAATATTAGCAGCATCTGCACATACAAAGGGAAATGAGGTATACTGTCTAGTCTTGCTCAGGGATACAGTTGTGCCAGTGGGCTCACTGTAAGTCCTCCAAAGGACTGACTAAGCTGTCTTGGGCCTCAGAATCAAGGCAAATGATGAGTTCAAATTTCACCTCTGACATTTACTAGCTATGTGACCCTTGGAAGACATTTAACTACTCTCTCAATTTCTTGGGAATAATAATAGCAGTAGCCTCTCAAGTGAGATTATGTGTGTATACACACACACACACATTTATATTTATATAATATATATATATATATATATATATATATATATTTACATATATATATATACACACACACACACACATATATATATATATATGTATATATATATATATATACATATATATATGTATTTAAGGGACACACCTTAAAGCATTCTCAGTTATTAATATTACTACTACTAGCTGTGTGACTCTGGGCCAGTCATCTAACCTCTCTGTGCCTCAGATCCATCATTTGTCATGAGGTTCAAATTGGTGAATGTATTTAAGGTATTTTGAAAACCTTAAACACTAGATAAATGTCATTTATTTTTATTGTTACTGCTACTCTTACTACAGGTAGTACAGTGGATAGAATGCCAGCCCTAGAGTTGGGAGGACCCAAGTTCAAATCCAGCCTCAGACACTTACTAGCTGGGTGACCCTGGGCAAGTCACTTTACCCTGTTTGCCTAAGTTTCTTCATCTGTAAAATGAGCTGGAGAAGAAAATGGCAAACTACTCCACTATCTTTGCCCAGAAAACCCCACATGGGACCACGAAGAGTTGGACATTATCGAAAAATGACTCAACAACAAAAACTCTTACTACTCACCATGCACAAATAAGTCACTTACCATTTCTGTGCTTCTTTCTCTCTCATTTATAAGTTGAGGATAATTAGCAGCAGACATTAACATCTGTATGAGGGGCAGCAAGCCAGGGTAGATGGGGGCTGCTTTGGGCATCATACCAGCTGTTTGCCTCCAGGCAGATCCCTTTGTCTCTGGATGGCCCAGGCAACTTGGTTGTAGACGAGTTGCTGATGTACATTGGCATATAGAGTTTCTACACTGGGAGCTCTTCACATGGATAGAATCCCAGGTCAAACTCTCTCCTGCCCCCAAACACACAAAATTATCTCCCTTTTGATGAAGTTCAAATGAGTTAATAGCTATTATTATTGTTGTTGTTAAACAAGCAAGACAAGAAATGAGATGAGGAAGGTCCACAGCAACCCTGCAGCTGATCAGAGGGTTACCAGTGGGTGCTACCTGCCTTCCTAATGTATGGGTGGGGGGGTCATCCCAAAATGGAGTTGGCTGTGCTATGGCAAGAGGAGTACTCCCTAGGAAAATACCCATATGTCTGAAGCAAAACTCAGGGTTGGAGTTGCTTACCCATGCTTTTCTTTACTGTATTGGTATCAAAATCCCTTTTCTTGTGTTTTACCAAATGATGTTTTGTTGATATCTATGAGGGGAAAGTCAATGGACCTGAGGGAAAAATCACCAATAGTCACATTGTGATTATAAAGTCACTAAACAAAATGTTTCTGGTTAAATGGAGCTACTTACAATCAACCTCCTCTGTTTATGGACTTTCTGTTTGTGTTTCCATGTATTTCTATTTTTAAAAATTGAATTGAAATCTCAGGGGCAAAAGCAGCATGGTATAATGCTGCTGGTATAAAACCACTGCTCTTGGAGCCATAAGGCCTTGGGTTAAGATCCCAGCCCTTTGCTAGCTGTGTGGCCACAAGCAAGTCAGTCCCATGAAAAGGCTGGACTAGGTGAATTTCATGTTCCCTTCCATCCTCAAACCTGACACTCTTAAAGATTTTCTGTAGCTCCCAGACCCAATTCCCGGCTTGCACCTGGGCTTCAGCTTCCAAGCCAAACTACAAACCTGAACAGTTAGCCACCCCTATGCAAATGTACATCTAAATCAAATTGGGCTACTGATGGGGGGCCACAAAGGTACAAAGAGAGCCTTTCAGGTTGAGAACTTCTCCATTCAGCAAAGTAGAAGAGCATTCCAGCTTCTGAGATAGATTGCATGGTCACCACTTCAGAAAGAAATGGAATTTTGAAAAGAAGCCTGGAGCCACCTGTATTAATTGAAAAAATACTCTCCTTTGACAGGTGGCCCAGGCTCATTCTCGGGGAACAGCTCTCTGCAAACAATCGCTGTGGTTCAGATCGCCCTGACTCAGCTATCTCTCTGGAACAGCTGGTTCCTTTCTAGCTCTCTGCGGTTCCTCGGATCTCTCACAAACAAATGGTAAGGAGCTTTTACATATAGTATATTCGTTGCAGAGCAGATCCTAAAGAGGCATGGTCACATCTGAATGCAGTTAGTGGGGGAACAGTGCCAGTTCTTTCTCCTGCCCCGGAGCCCCCAGTACAATTGCTATAGCAGGATTGCTGTTGGAGATCTGGGGGTAGCAGCATGCATGTCTCATCACTCACCTGCTGGATCAGTCCACCTTATCCCAGGTTCTAGGACATCCTCAGTCCCGATATCTCAGAATTCCTGCATTTGCTGCCTTGCAGCCTCTATTTTTAGAGGTTAGGCAGTCATAGATTTAGAGTTACAAGGGCCCATCGAGGCCACCCCATCCCCATTCTACAGAGGGGAAAACGTTAAGTGACTTCCCCAAAGCCACACAGGTGACAAGGGTGCAACTTAGCTCCTCTGGGGCCTGGTCATGTGGATGCCCCCTGCTCTAGCACCCATCTATTGGCAAGCAAGCTTAAACTTTGACCCTGGCATTATGGGAAGGTGTCTTTTCCTCTCTTTTCACACCCTCTACAGACAAACCACTGGCTTTTTATTGGAAAAGCACTGGTTTTGCAGAGAAGGATAGCTCTGCTTTCCAATTCATCAAATCGTGACCGAGAGAGATTCTATCTGCAATGATGACCTTGAGGTTCCAGAAGCAGAGCAACCAGTGCCCCTGCCCCCAGCCCAGAAGAGGGGACAACGACCACAGGTTCATTACTGCCCACCACATCGAGACAGCCGATCTCTTCACCAAGCTGGGTCTCTGTAAACCATGAAGGAACACACCGCCAGCCTGGAACAAGGCAAGCACCTGCTGTACTGACTCTCCTTCCCCTCACCCAACAGCACACGACTAATGGCTCAATATTAAAGGCAAGGCAGCAATTTAGAGAGCAAGTCTGCCTTTGCTTCCTCCCAGTCTAGTCCATGAAACACAATTCTGATGCTCCCTAAAGCTCCCAGTAAGTAGATAATAAGGCCCCGCTTTTCAAAGGGTCTGCCAGAGCCTTTTATCTCTGACAGCGTCTAATACCTGTCAAACATTTTAGATTAAAATGAGTATGGAGAGCATAGCCTCACTCACTGGGACTAAACAGCAGCCCTGACTTTTATTATTATTATTAATAACAGCCCTCATTTACCTAGTATTTGAGGACCTTACACAACACTTCCCTTATAGGAATCCTCTGAGATAGATGCTGCAAATTTTAGTGTGCTTCTCCTCATTTTAGAGACGGGGAAGCCAAGGCCCTGCCAGGGATTTGCCCATGGTCACTTGGCCTCCATGTGCAGGTTCAATGTTGTTTCCATATTAAATGATCATTTATTAAGCACATACATGCTATGAGCCAACTTCCATACACAATGGTATATGCTTTCTAGGCACGTTTTATTAATTAAGACTTTGATCTTTATAGCACAATCATTTCAAATCCCCTCCACCCCTGCCTGAATCTTCCCCTGGGACTAAGGAAACCAATGAAGCAAAAACAGCTTACATTCATATCACATGGGCAGCTAGGTGGCTAAGTGGGTAGAGCTTTGGGCTTGGAGTCAGGAAGACCTGAAGTCAAATCTGGCCTCAGACACTTACTAGCTGTGTGACCCTGGCAAGTCACTTACTTTGCCTCAATTTCCTCATCTGTAAATTGAGCTGGAGAAGGACATGGAAAACCACTCTAATATCTTTGCCAAGAAAACCCCAGAAGGGGTCACAGAGTCAGACACAACTAAACCGCTGAACAATAATAACAACCAACATATAACATTCTGGCCTAGTAGGCCACCTCCGGCCACCTGTCTACCATAAAGGAAAGCTATACTTCAATGTCTATTCCCCTGGACCTTCACTACTCATTCAGTGAGCTTTCATTTACCCTTTTGTGCTCCACCTTAGTTCACTCATATGAACCTTGCAGGTTTTACTGAGGATCGCACAATCTCCCATGACATCTATGACACCATATCAGCCTCTCTAGCCAGATGCTCAGTGCTACTCACCCAGCTGTGCCACTCCACTCAGAAGCACACATCTCTTTTTCAGAAGGCCCATGTAGTCTGACCCACATGAAACTCAACAACGACATTATGCCAAGGGGACTCAGATACATCAGCCATGCTGAGACTCGGGGTACCAAAGCTCACTGGTTGAACTGAGGGATTTTCCTCAAGTGCAGGCTTGAACGTGTCACTTACCTTCTCAAAAATACTCTAACTGCTAAATTTGCCTTGGGAACAAATAGGAGGTCTTCTTGCTGGCTTCTGGTTTCAGCCTACCTTTGCACCTTTGTCTTCCATGACTCCCCTTCCTATTTGCCCCAGTGCAGCCACTGACATTTTTACTGTTCCTCACACGCAACATTCCATCTCCCGCCTCCATGCCTTTGCACTGGCTGGTTCCCCACCCCCCTTGTCAAAATGTACTTCCTCTTTACTTCCACTTCTTAGAATCCTTGCCTTCCTTCAAAATGCAGCTCATGTGCCACATTCTACATGAGGCCTGTCCTGAGGTCCTCAGCTGCACTCCTGCTCCCCCCCCCAAAAAAAGGACTTTATATTTTGTTTGTATATCCTCAGATGCGCCATCTCCTCCGACAGCATCTGTCAGTTCCTCGAAGGCAGGGACTAGTTCCGTTTTGGTTTTGAACACGCCACGCAGTCTCTGGCACATAGTTTGTGCTTAATACATGTGTGCAGATTGAGTACTTGCTTCACATTTGCTGGGTGGAGATACAAAGACAAAAACCAAATTAGCCTTTGTCTTCCAGGAGAGTGTGTTCTATGGTGGGGGGTGAGGGGAGTACCCATTGTAGACAGCTATTGGGGTCTTGAACTGAACCTTGAAGGGAGTGAGGGGGTCCAAGATGGAAGATGATCATTCTAGGCAGAGGGGCAGGAGATAGGGAAGAGCAAGTGAGCCAGTTTGACTGAATCAGAGCTTAGGAGAGGCAGCAGTGTGAAATCTGGATAGGGGAGCTTGCATTTGATCTTAGAAGAAATGGGGACCTGTCCTGTCAGCCATATGGAAGCTAGATCTGAGAGAGTAGAGTTGGGGCAGGGCAGAAAGGTTTATTAGTAAGCTTTTTTGGGAATCAAGGTAAAAGATGATGAAGACCTGGGCCTGAAGGGTTGTGGGGTGAGGGGAGAAAGGGGGAAGATGGAAGAAAAGAAGCAAAGGTAATTGGGCTCTGGGTGAGAGGGAAGAGTCAAGGCTGATTCCAAAGCTGGGAATAGAACATTCTATCCTTTCCCTGTGGTGCATTCCAGGTGGAAATCAGCAAGGGAGGGAGGAGACAGAGAGCAAGGGATGGAGATGGAAACATATCGAGCTACACAGACTTGGGGGTAGAGAGGGAAGGCTGTGCCGCAGCTATTGACTGCAGATGCAGACTTTCTCCTAAAGGAATGATGGCGCTGGGGATTGGGGGGAAGCCGCCACAGAGCCGGAAATTATGAGTAATGTGTCCAGAGTCCACTTGCCTAATAATCCAGTTTAGCCCCAAAGCCTTCCCTGGCCTCCAGCCAGAGCTTTGCTGCTTAATTGCAGACCTCACTCTGCTGACGATCAGGAAGTCTGTAACGGCATCCGTGCGGTGACAGCAAAAGGGAGCAGCCGGAAATGAATTCATTCCGTCAATTTCGAATCTGCGTAATTGAACTGAAGCAAATCCTTTGATAATAAGACAGTTTCATGTTCCATAAGAAAACAAATCTTACCTAATTGGATTCTTCTTCTTGTCGGTATGCTTTGAGGGTACCAATGGCTGGTCCTGGGCAGATTGCTGAAGGAGCTGCCCCCACCTCCCTCCAGTCAAATTGACTAGTCATTGTGACATTCCTTTAGGGCCCTGTCCTCCCCTTGGGGAGCCCAGGTGGTAACTGGAGCTGAGATCTAAGTGGCTGATAATTGCTTAACGTGTTACCCCTCCCAAATGACACTTGTAATATCACCACTGCTTTTAATATCAGGAACTGAACAAGTCGGGGGAGGTTTTCTCACTGTGGCTGCTGAGGGAGTTTGTTTGAAGAGGGAAGATGGGGGCAAGCTAAGAGGGTTAGGCTCCTTACATATCACATCATGTCAAAGGCATGCTGGAGCTGAAGTGAATAATATCTGGGAATGAATCCCTGCTCTGACATCGGGGCCCTGCTCTCTGTCCAAGGCAAAACACTTTACTTTGTTTGCCTCAGTTTCCTCACATGTAAAATGGGGATAATAACAGCACTCACCTCCCAGGGTAGCTGTGCCCATCAAATGAGATAACGTAGGCTTCTATTTGCACACTTTGAAGCACCTGCCTCCCAGGACTGAAGGGTCTATAGCAAGATGGAAACAAGTCCATGCCAACCAACCTACTTACCTCCCCATCCGGTCATCTTGGAGTTCATCCATCAAACTGGCAGCAAACACCTTTCTGGGCAGGGGTTGAACAGGATTTGGAAGAGGGGGCATAAAGTGATGGCCAAAATTAGGATAAAATTACTGCAGCTAAGATAAGACAGGAAGCATTTGAGTAGAGAAAAACGTTTGAATCAAATACCTGATGAGAGTCTGGATAGCCAAGGCACCAGACATCCAAAGGAACTGGCATAAATAGATAAAGTCAAGAGGGGTTCTTCAATAGATATGTGGTCCAAGGATACAAAAAAGCCAATTCACATAAGAAGGACTGTGCCCCAGATCACTGACCCTTGAGGTTTAGCCTCACACCTGGCATTTTGGTCAAAGTGACAGAAGATGGCAATCATCAGGGTTAGAGGGGCTGAGGGGATCTGTAACTTGATCCAGAAATTCTGGAAAGTGATGTGGATATGTCCTCTGACCCAGAGATTCCACTGCTAGACATGAAGCCCCACCCAAAGGGGGTCAAAGAAGTAAAGGTCCAGCATACTCCCCCCCCCCCATCTTTACAGCACTGTTTCATGGAAGCAAAGAACTGGGAACAAAGTAGGTATCTATCATTTAGGGAATGACGAAATAATACCGAGAAATGGGGGAGGGTGCACATGAACTGATACAAAGTTAAATAAATAGAACCAGCAAAACAATATATACCATGACTGTAACAATGCAAAAAGAAAGAGCAATGAAACTCAGTGCACTCTAATGAGGATGAGGAGCCTTGTTGGGTGCCAAACAGTGTGTGTGTGTGTGTGTGTGTGTGTGTATGTACATACACACACACATATACACACACATATATCCTATCACAATCAGTTGACATGTTCTCTTTGCTGAACCAGTGGTTTTTCTTTTTCTTTCCTTTTTTATTCTTTGTTAGGGTAAATGGCTCTCTGGGGGTAGAAGGGAGGTATGCATTTGCAAAGGAAGGAGATGTAAAAGTGGGAGATAGCAATTATATATTATATTTACATAATATACACATACATATATACACACATACATATATACACACACATACATATACACACACACACATATATATACACACACACATATATACACATACACACATATATATACATATATATACATATATATATACATATATATATACATATATATATACATATATATATACAATATATATATATATATATATATATATACATATATATATATATATGTAGCCAAGCATAGAAATCATGAGATTCTCCAGGAGACTAAAGTTAAGTTCCTTCCTCCTGGTTTAACAGATACAAGCTGAGAGGGAAGTATATTTGACAATACCTACTGCTCAGCTCGATTTTCTATTTGGCTTTTTCTAATTAGAAAATGAGCCCTGTTTTCAAACTAAGCTATCGGAACCCTGCCTAGAGCTGTCTAGAAAGATTTCTTTAACAGAGGAAATAAACAAACAAAACCCAGCAGAACATTCACTCTAGTTCACTGCCACAAACCATTAGTGCAGTCTCAAGGTCTCCAAGTCAACCAGCCATGTGCTTCCAAGCTGCATACCAGCGCCCAGCATAAGAGGATGCTGTGCATCCCAGGATTCAATTTGCTTCTTTACACAGGGCCATTACTACTGGTATTGATATTTCTAAAACCCTTTTCTGAAGTACTTAGACAGTCAGTTTCTTCCTGATTTGATTTATAAACTACTCATTCAGGGCTTGCCCTGGGCAAGATATTAAAATTTTCTTCCTCTGTGTGGTATCACCTCAAGATTCTAATAGATCTCGTCTCTTCATCCTCCCCTAAGTTTAACTTCTCTTGTCTTCCATTCCCTTGGAAGAACTCCAAAAATATAAAAGACGTTATCCTTGCCAGGAAACACACTGGCATTCTAATAAAGGTCTTCCTCCAAGCAGTGACTCTAACGGTGGGAATTTCAGGCATTTTGGTAGGCCAATAGAGGGGACATTGGGTGG